TCGAATCATATTTATTCTTTTTTTTTTTCATTTTAGAATGCATTTACTTGTTGAATATATATATATATATATATATATATATATATATATATATATATATATATATATATAATCAAAGCAATATAAATAATAAAATAAATTGCTATTTATATTTTTGGATAGGTTAATATCTTAACAAATTGAGCTGACGATAAGGACTAAAAAAGGACATAGTCAAAGAAAGAGAAAAACATTAAGAAAGGGGAAGTATTGAAGAAAGGGACGAGACAAGAGCAAGATAAGATCACAACAAGAGAGGAGAGAGAGAGAGAGAGAGAGAGAGAGAGAGAGGTAAAATAAATATATTCTTCACCATTGATTTATCAATCTAGTTATAAGTACATCAAATAATTTAATCATAATTCTATGCATATATAAATTAAAATGAATCTTTCCTCTTCACAAACTTTTCATTGATTTCCTCTTATATTATTATATTTCACATAGGGTTTCATATTGTTGGAAGGTTGCTATATAACTATATATAAATTGATAATGATGGAAGATGTTGTTTACGGTAAATGTGTCAACTTGAGATGTAAGAAAAGGGTTGATGTTGCCTTCTTGTATGATGTTGACATCACCTCCGTTCTTGGGTGCACAAAATAAATTATACATATATACTATATAAAAAGAAAATAAAAAAACTATTATATATATATATATACATGTAACTTTAAATATCTCTTTCCTATTAAAATTAATTAAAAAAATTAATAATAAAAAGATTATATACATGTTCTTTTTATTATCAATTTTTCTGAATTTATATAAGCTTAAATGAGTTGCAATATAAGGTAATACGAGAGGAAGCAAAAGACTAATTGAGAAAGCGGACCACTAGATAAGGACCGTAGTGAAAAAGGAAAGAAAAGGACTAGGAACAAAAGGAAAAAAAAGGATTGAAGAAAGGAACAATAAATGCAAGAGGAAAAAGTGATAGCAAGAGAGGATGATACGAGGGTAGTTAGAGGGAAAGATAGATAGGCAATAAATGCTTGAAAAGAACATCCATTTTACCCCCCAAAAACACAAAAATTTCGTAAAAAAGTAAATAAAAGGATGATTATATTCAAATGTAGACGGACAAAGGTCTTATATATTTTTTCATTTAGGTTTAAATTATAATTATTTTTAAATAGTATCAAGTCGAACATAAATGCCTAATAGCAAGTTGATCGATTGATTCAATAAAAAATAAATAGAATTTAACATTTGATTTTATCGATACCACCCAACTGTTCAAAGAAAATTGAGTATATTGAATCATGAGTAAGTCCTCTTTCATTAACCTATCATTATAGAAAAGTCATTTATGTTAGGTTAACAACTATGAGTAGAACTATACCAAGTGTAGCAATGTATGATGATTAATGTCTAACATGGGAGCTACAATTTTTGCATTATCATATGATATATAATCTCATGTGCATAAGGAACAAATATAAGTCATGAACAAGATATATCACGACGCATGAATCATTTTCATCTTTCCTTCCCTTCATGAGCTGTGAATGAGGTCATCTATCATTGTCATAAATTTAGTCAGCATAATTTTTTTCTCTGCAGAAATAAAGAAAATTATATGTCAAAAAAACACAAGAGTAGAAATTAATTCCTCATTCTTGTCCCATAAGAAATGGAAATTAATTCCTCCCCCTTGATTTCCTTTGCTTATCTTAATTGTCTGATGGACAGATGAACTTATGTTGGGCACCCTATGTCAACTAGTAAAAAGACATGAGACAAGCTTTGATTATAGTTAAATAGAAGTTGTAACATCTTATTCCTACTTTCATTCACATCTCATTTGTACCACGAAAATAGAAATGTAATATTTTCATTTACTTATGTTGTCTATAATGATATAATGGAAAAGTGGATAAATTTTTAAAATATATTATCTTGTTAAATAAAATGATATATTTTTTCTTGTACATATTAGTTTTTGACACTTGTACATTGCTGTAAACACATAAATCTCAACCACTATATATGCATATTATGCCTAAAATTTATATACACCAAATATACCTATACATCATCATCTAAATCTGCCCTAGTATTGACCATACATCTGCCTCACCACCCAACACATCACAACTATTAATGTCTTTAGTTATAAAATAGAGACTAAAATAAAACATAACTTAGTAAGTATAAGTTTCTAATTTTAATATATTAAGGTGAGTGTGCATATGCCACATTTGTAACCTTTCAAAGTTAAATGTATTAAACATTTCATTGTGAACTTACCTTCTTATAGCTTCTTTAGCAATGAGTAAAAGGATGCATAACCATGAGATAAAACTCTAATTCAAAATAAGTCACAATACATATGTGCAAACTTAGGTCATAGCATATGCAATGAAATCATAATTTATCCATAACCTCTCACATCATATATTATCACATATACGTACATACACTATCATATTGCACGTTGTATATACACATATATAAAACATTTCATACAGATGCATGAGAAAGAGATAAACTCCTAATTTAAAGTAAATGATAGTACAAGAATAGTTCATATAATATGATATAAAAAATCATAATATATCAATGAACTTTCATGTTACATTTTATCATAGTTACGTACACTCCTATATTGCACCTTATGTATACAAATGCATAAAATGTTTTATAACAGATGCATCGTAACATGATAGATACGTAACATGGAGGTAAAATTCTACTTTCGAGTAAATCATAACACACCCATGGAAGTAAAATTCATAGGGCATGCAATAAGAAATTATAATTCATTCATAAAATTTAATATTATATTTTATAACATAGATATGTACTCTCACATCATACTCATGATATATGATATATACATGCACTCTCATTCCACACGTAATAACATATACGTATACTCCTATACCATATGTTATGATATGTACATGCATTCTACACCACATATTATAATATATACATATATTCTCACGCCATATATTATAATATAAATATACATGTCAATCAATTTCAATT